GGAATTCGCTAACAGGCTCGTCTACTCGACCTACCATTGATCAAAAAGTCTCAAAGCGAATTAAAAATCTTTCTTCATCGCGATGCCCGATCAAGAACAAATAATTGAAGCGTCGTCGAAAATCGTATCGTAAAGCCGACGACGCGTTACCGGCGTGACCAGATGCTAGCCGCAAATCTGAGAAAGATTTCGATTTGACGTTTCGCGCGGAGGACGGTAAACACGGAAGAAGCAGTACAGAATGGAACGAGGCTGCAGACGAGCCAAAAGACGGGGATAAAGAAACGAGAGTAGGCTTAGCTGGTTGTTCGAGATCGAAGCTGCCTTATAGCGTGCTTTTCCGATGCTCGTACGAAGGCCTTAAGGGATAAGGTCTCTGTCTCGGTCTCCTCGCGTCGCCTTTTCTTTCGTTCGCGATTTCCTTCGTTTCGAAAGAACAGGCTCGCGTAGAGCACGCGAGACACCGTTAGTTTCGGGACCTCCTTACGGCTCACTGGGGGCTGCATTAAAATGCCTGGAATTGTTTACTGCTCACCCCCGCTAGTAATATCCACTGTAAACCACGCTTGGATAAAATTCACCCCTTCTGACCCCTCCCTGCACTTCCTTCTTATTTCGCGCACCGTCCGTAACGGGGAAAGACATTTCGCTGCAAAAATAATACGATTTCCTTCGCTGTTATCGAATCTCGGATACAAATTTCCGCGCAGCGGCGCGGTTTCGATAATTCTTCTTATTTAGAAAGTTACCCCAATGTTCCTTTTATCTCCGCGTTCTTTCGCGGCACGTAGGACGGGGAAGAGTAAATTATTTAGTTAAGGAAGTCATTTTGGCAAAGTTCCCGGTAGTAACAACGAATTCGCTCCTTCGAGCACTATTTTCTTCGTTAATTGAACCGGAAGCACCGAGGCTGGTAATCGTGGAACGAACGGTGACCGAGTTCGCGTGTAAAATAGCTTCGCGAAATGGGATCGCGGAAGATAAGTCGAAGACCGCAGATTTTATATCGGGCCATGTATCGACGAACCGTGAAACGAATGGTGTTTTCTCTCGTTAGCGAGATCGATCGGAAAAGATTCTTCTTGTTAAAGAGATAAACGAAGACACAAAACCGTGGTTCCTCTTTTCGTTTTTTCATCCGTAAACGTTGCGGATGGCGCATTTATGCCAGAAATACCAGGAAATAATGTGTTACTTTGATTTCTTTGTTCGGCTGCGCTCGGTGCACCTTCCTGCACCCATAGAATCGTAGATCGATAGTTGTTCATTCCACGCATGTAAACACCGGCTCGCGTTTTCCAACGGGCCAATGGTCGTTTTGTTAAACTCTGAGCCCGAACTTTTGTCGTAAACTATACGCTTTATGCGCGGATAGAGAGAAAACGCGGCACGCATCTGTACGGGACGATTAGGCGGTGTGCACGGGGTTGGAGAAGATCGAAAGAGAGGAGGGACGAAAGAGGAAGCACCGGGAGAGCAGAGGGAAAAAGAGGAACGTTCGAATGGAAGGATCACGAGAGAAGGGGATAACGAGTTACTAGGGCGAAACGGAGAGAGACGGACAACCCACGGAAAGAGAGAAAGAGAAAGAAAGAGAGAGAGAGTAGGATAGAAAGGTAGTGGAAAGAGGAAACGGAGGGTGTGTCGGGGGTTGCTTTCAATTAGGAGGCAGTAACTCTCCCAGGCATTGTTCATTTCACTCTAGATTTGTATTCCCCGTTTGTTTGTTCCCTTTGCTTTTGCGTTAACCTGAGCAAAAGCATGTATACGCAATCAGTCAGAGCGGAAAAGACGAGCCAGAGAGCCACCAGAGAGGAATCGCGTGATCGTTCCACCCTGCATGATTGTGATTTTTCCCTCCCACTGTTTATCCTCCTCTCTGTCGGTCCTGAAAGCGTTCGGTACTCGTTGTTACGGAAACTGGGACTAAAAATCGCCGACAAAAAGGACCGATCGAAACGTTAATTACTCTCGTCGAGATCATTTTCTGCGATACCGTTGAAAAAATAAATCAGTGGAAACGCGTTTGCTACGAGAGTTCGCTCACCGATTGTTCCTGGATCATCGATTTCGATTCTGTTTGATCAACGCCCGTACGCTCTCTGCAGGATCATTTTGCCCCGACTATTCAAACTGTAACCTAACCGGTAATTAATACCGTCTTAATTATTCCCGGAACCGTACAATGCACCCCTGTTACCTGCGTTAACGCAAACTTTCCTCGCATGTCCTCCGTTTGCACATATTCCTGTTTGTTAGTTATTTACTGGATGCTAAAATCTAATGTTGCTACATTTACTCATTTCGGCAGTTAATTATTCCAACGCGAGAGCATGAAGCACACGATAGTCGACGTTGGTACGATTTTTCATGGATGAACCATGCTCGAAAGGCATAGTCGAAACGCGAAAGGCATTGTCGTTTGTTTAAAAGCGTACAGGGGAGGAAACTAATATATACTTATACGGTATTTTATGCGTTTATAGTAGACGCCTTGCGAGGGCTGCGAGCCTCGTTACGAAATTCTCGACTAACTTCGTTCGCCACCTTCTCCCTCCGTTTCCCCTCTTCTCTACCCATTCGAACTAGCGAGAAGTTTCCTTTACGTCCATATGCCGAAATAAACTGAATTTCAGCCAATCATTATTCGCGAGCGAGACCATTAACGCTCTCGCGTGTTTGTTTCCCGTTGGTTCGAGCGAAACGCGACGCGCCGTCAAGATTCGTCCAGAACGCGAACGCCAAGAATCGAAGCAACGAACGATAGAAACGAGAAGTATCGATCGTTCTCGGCGAAACAGTCGGCGTGCAATCGGAATTTGTTATGCGAAACGTCAACGTGTGTGGTTTTGGCTGGCACGCGTCGTGACGTAAATCGATCTCGCCAACATTATCACCGATGACGTACGCGTTTCTACGTATCCGGAAACGAGACTGCTCGTTCGAAGATCCCAGCGATAAAAGTGGTACCAGGTAATCGCGCGACTTTGTCGAAGCAAACTAACAAAATGTCCATACACGCACGGATAATTTCCCTGTCGGCTGCGAAAGTATCGGATCGAATTAGAACCTTTTAGAATACACCTTTTAAGAATAAGTGAAGACCGCGAGTCTAATTAACCGTGGTTTCGCGAGCACGATCCTGAGGGACGGATGCAGCGGCTGTAAACAGCTGGCGAGGTTGGCGAGCGAAAAGCGAAAGCATTTTACGGAAGAATCAATTGTCACGGTAACGGCGTACCAGCGAAGGAAGTCGAAGAGATTACTGCTTGTTCCGTTCTTTGATTCCGCTGGTCTTTTGCTCCTGGTTCGGGCAGAGTTTCCAGCCTTGTTCTTCCTTCGCATCGGAACGCGAAGTTATCAAGGCTAATTTTTCGCCTTTGTCGCATCCCTCGGTGGCCACCAGCCGGTTCGTTACTCGTGTTTAGCCGGCACTGTTTTTAATAACCTAATGGCTCTTATACGCGGTACATTATGTCGGTACCGTCCCATCTCTACCCCGTTGAACAGGGGCCCCCTTCCCGTCTTCCTCCAGGTTTTCCTTTTTTTCGTGCCTTCGTTCTTTTATTTGCAATTTTTTCGTCGAAACGACAAAAATATCCTTCTACAGCTACTTGCTTGTTTGCTTGCTTGCTCGCGGTATGCAAAACTTTTGTCTACGAGTAAAAAAGGGTGAAAGGAACGTGTGGACGTGGGAAGGGGTTAAAAGAAGGGAGAGAAGATGTAAAGGGGAGCGCTTTTTTTCCTCGAGTCGAACAAAAATCTTTTACGGTTCCACCCCCGTTGTACTCGTTCGAATGATCGGTCGAGGAAGAAACGATCGCTTAACTCTTCTCGTTCTTTCGCTTCCTCTTTTTTTATCGGCTGGAAATTCACCGCGTTCTCCCTGCTTTAGCCGCTGAAAGCGGTGGAACGAAGCCACTGAATATCTCTCTTGGCGTAATTAGCCCCAAGAGGCTAGTCCCGACCTAAAAGCGTCATCGAAACGCTTTAATCGATCATTATCGTTCGCGCCGCCGTCATATTTTTCGCGACGCACTCAGAAAATTTCGAATCATCGGCAATGATTAAGGTTTCATTAGCGGATAATGCCGTAGCCACGGGATTATATCGTTTCGCGTAAAAGGAATGAAATATTGAAGAGGGATTTCCGTGATTCGGTCATTGAAAAGCGACATATTCCTGGTGCATGTATAGATCCGAGCTCGTGGTGAAATTCAACGACTCGAAACGAGGAGAAAATCATCGGCCAGAATTATTCTCATTGAAAAGCTTCTGGTCCGAATAACTATACCACCCCTTCTCGCCGTGAAATAGCCTCGTTCGTTTCAAATTACTTGCCCTATTTTCCTTTGTCTTGTCTCACGTTTTGCGGCTCTCATCCCCTTCTCCTTGCACCTACCCTCTGCTTCTCTATAGAGCCTTAATTTAGTAACCGGCCAACTCGAACATTTTCGTCCGACTCTCTAAAATTACCCTCGTAAAATTAACCCCCTTTCGTGACCGCGTTAAATATTAATTCGGCCATTCGAAACATCTTTTTCCGCTTTCGATACCGTCGCCGTCGCGCCGATTCGACGGTATCGAGCGCGACGCGGATGTTTGTTTTTTGCTCGGCTTTTCGACCGAAAGAAAGAACGAAAAAAAAAAACGAAACGCGAAGCAAAAGTCGAAGAGAACGTTTTTCCACGGAGTAACGGTGGTTGATTACGATTCAGGGTGCAAGACCGGTGATATTTTACCTCTTTTCGAGACTTTACGATCGGACGTTTTTAATTTCCCCCGCGCGCGCGCACGCTTAAAGAAAGGGCGAGCGAATGCAAATTGTGACAGGAAAATTATGCGCACCGTGAAATTAATGTCTTTCCGAGATCGGCTCTTAATAGACCGTTCATGCACTTTCTCGCGCAGGCAAATTTTATTCAACGACCCAGGCTACCACGGCAAAACAAATTGAATTCTGGATCAATACACCTTTACTTTCAGATAGAACGACAAAGATGATCGTACCCGCGACTGATCTGCCGGATCGCCGTCATCGAACGTCCTTACTGATTTGCGTCATTTTCGTCATCGTGTTTCCGACTCTGGCCACGACCGATGCCGGTAAACACGAATACGGGAATACGTACGAGAAGAAAACCGAAGATAATCGTGAATTTTCTGAGAATACCAAACAATCGAAGCATGCCGATGAAAACTCTAAGGTAACAAAATTTAATATAAAACATAGAAGAACTTTTAAAACGGCTCGGTGAAACGTCATCGAAAGAACTTTGCTTGGAAGCCTGGACCTCGAATGACCCAGTATCCACTGTCCGAGGGTTAGAAAACGAAAGATAGATCCGTATCCGGTTCTCGAACGAGGAACAGCTGGGAAAGCGTGTCTCTCGCGTAGCAAGACGGAGTCGATGTGGCAGACTCGAGCCGACAGACGTTTCCTTTCGGACGCGTTTTAATATCTCAAGCATTAATTTCTTTTTGCGGAAAACACGCTGTTCCCGTCGTTGCTTTGTCTTCGCGCACCTCTGCCCGTTTTCCCCTATCAGGCCACACTCGACACCCCCTTTCGGGTGTCTTTCGTCCTCCTCCGCGACGATTCGTCCTTACGCCGGATGACAAAATGACAAAGGAGTGGTCGCCCCGGGCCAGCGATATTACCGTTTCCGTTTCGGAACTATGCGAACCGTCTACACCCCTCTGGGCCGCGTATTACGGCCGAAAACGTCTCGTGATTGATTATGCTCGCCGTACTTTTGGCTCCTATACCACCACCCTCCGTGGGACGCGATTGATGGAGAGACTGCGAAAGGAATCGCTACCTCGGCAAACGATCGAGATGTCGTTAGCGGCTCTTTCAACGGGGATACGGCCGATTCAGAATTTCGTGAAAATTCTAACGAACTCGGTCGAACTTGCTTGGTTAACCCTCCTATTATGCGCGCGGAGCAACTTAACGCTCTATTCACCGTTGTTACCGCTTCTGCTCTAACTTTGTCGTCTTTCTTTGTGAATATCATCATCGGTGGAGCAGCGATAGTTTGAAAGAATTTTTGCAAAACATTCGTTTTGCTGATGACGCAACTTCTGAAACGTCCTGTACGCGTTTCCACGAATACGATTATATGGTAACACCGTTAATACCGTTTTGCGCGATCCAGTGGCAAACATATTACAGCATACTCTAACACGGCAGAAGATTTAACCGCAACAATGTTACCTCGAGCGTAAATACTTGAGCGACTTCGATAAAACGGGTTCGTAACACGAACGAAGCCGATATAACGGAAACGCGTGACCTTCGCACGATGCAAATGGAAGCGCAGGATTTACATAACATTCAACAAGTGATCATCGGGGAATATCGCGGTTCATTTAGAAACTGCGACGAGTTACGCGGACAAGACAGCAGGGATGCGGCAACGGGGCAATCTCGAAATTCCCGCAACCACGGAAGAACAATCGTGCCGAAAAAACGGGTGCAGGGGCAAAGCACATTAAAGCGGACTTCATTAAGGTCCCCGTGGAAACGCGGACAACGAGCAAAAGAAGAGAAAGGAAAAAACGGACGAAACGAGAAGCGCAAAAAGGAAAAGCGCAGGGAGCCACTGCGAGGAGACTCGCGAGAGAGCGTAAAGGAAGATGGCGAGTGTTTATTTAGTTAAATGCCGCGTGTAATTGAGTGTAAGACTATTTTTGTTCGGCGACGAGGCGTCGGCGGTGGTCGCTAGGAAAAGGGCCAACTCCAGTGGCGGAAGAGCGAGCGGAAGAGCGAGCGAGCGAAGGCAACAATCCTCGCGCCGCTTTCCACGCTCGAGTTTTCCACCCCTTTTTCCGCGTGCTGGCAGCCACCTGATGGCTGGCTGGCA